GTCGGCGGTCGGGACCTTCCTGCTCGTCTCCTGCGCGGATGGGACCGCGACGATGTGGCGGGAGACCCCCGCCGGCGACTGGGAAAAGACAAGTGAGTTGATCAACCCCGGCCTGTGAGGGAAGGGGGTGAGGGGGGGGGTAGGGGGGGGGGAGAGGACCACTCTTTGAGGTGGTGGGCTTAGTTGACGATCCACCTCGGGGTGTTTTATAGTGGAAAATGGGACTGCTGACTAATTGATGATGATGTGGGTGAAACAAGTTGGATATATACATATATATATATATATATATTTATATATTTATATATTATCGCGATATCTGCACAATGCACCTAATGGCTTGGAGATGAGTCACCTCTTGGACCTATTTCAAGGTTTAACAATTGCGATGCAATATTTTCTATCGCGTGTTTTTTCTGCTTCTTCTTATACCGTCTCCACTGAAGGTTTGCTTAATCCATCGTAGGACTTTTCATGGAAAGACTCAATCGTGATTTTTAACTACGAGACGCTAAAACCTTAACTTATAAGAAAGATTACGTATTGCCCAAAAGACATTCGTTGTCAATTATGGGTCTTATTCTGGGAACTTTTTTTTATATAGTTTTTGCGCTTATCGGTGTGTTCACGGCCCCCATCTGGACACGTCACCAAGCCGAGCTAATACGTGTTCTTTGGGTCCTGGCAACCTTTTGTTGTTGGTTATCATGGGCTCTCATCTACATGGCGCAGATGAATCCATTACAGCTCCCGGTTCGAGTAATAAAAAGCAGCTAATACTTGGAATAGTCAGTCTATCGGCATGAGTATAAATATTTATCTATTTGTACATGCATAGGTGTGATATCAAACCTATGGAAGGTTAGTTTTCAAGGTGGGAACTGCTTGGGTTTTTGTATTTGATGTGTGATTCAAAATTTTGAAATTCAAAGTTCATCTGTTCAAGTTATTGATGAAGGCGATATTTTCCCACTTCGAACTGTTCATCCATGCACTTACTCTTCCTTCTTCATGATTACTTCATTTTATTTTTTTGGTCACACACCGTAATTTTCGTCACTTTTAGATTTAACGATTAGCTTTTATAGTTCTGTTAGTGATCCACTGTCTTTTGATCCTTACCTTTTATTAGTGATCTCGTTTTCCCTGTGTATTCCAAACACCAAGGTTCCCTCCTTCGTATTGTAGTAAGGCTATATCCTTCTTCCGGTTTTTTCTTCGCGTTGTGTAGTGTCCGAAATGAGCTTTCTTAGGGTTGTCGCTGATATGCTGCACCTGGCAGCGATTGTCGTACTTCTCCTAAAGATGTTGCGTCAACGTTCTTCCGCGGGTATCTCACTCAAATCAATGACACTGTTTGCGTTGGTCTTCATCACGCGCTATTTGGACCTCTTTTTGGTAGTGTATTCTCTGTACAACACCCTAATGAAAGTTTTCTTCATCGCCACTTCATGTCATATTTGTTTTCTCATGAAGTTCAGGAGCCCTTGGAAGGCAACCTATGATCGAGAGAACGATACATTCCGCATTCGCTATTTAATTGCTCCTTGCATGATCCTAGCGCTGCTGATTCACCCTAGTTCAAGAGGCTTGTGGTTTGTGGAGGTACTTTGGGCGTTCTCACAGTATCTAGAGGCAGTAGCCATTTTGCCTCAAATTTTTCTTCTAGAGTACACAGAGCGGTATGACGCCTTGACCTCGCATTACCTATTTTGTTTGGGTGCATATCGGGTGTTTTATTTATTACATTGGATTGTGCGGTACCTAATGTATAAACGAATTAATATGATATCGGTGGTATCCGGGATCATTCAGTCTCTAATGTATATTGATTTCTTTTACCATTACATCACTCAGGTTGTTCAACACGCCAGGCAACGCTATGAATTGGCTCGCTAATCAGATGAATAGAACAAATAAAATGGATGCAAGTGAAGGTGAATATTGTCTGTATCAACATTGTACGATGGATATGTAATATACTGAATCATTAACTGCAAGAAAGAGGAAGCTAAGGGTAAAAGGGGCCGGAAGGGTGCATCACTCCTAATAGGGTTTTGAGCTAATACAAGTCTGCATGACCGCACAGCTCCGTACACGATTCCGGAAGACCGCTACGGGGGAAAACGCTAGCTCAGGGATGGGGCCTTCCCCCCACTGTAGTCACAGTACCCCGTATTCTAATCTATGAGACGAAGAATTCACTAGAATGTGACTTCCCTCTTCAGCCGAGATACCAAATACTGTGGCTTAGATAAGGTAGCCGGTCTGGCTAGGGAAACGAAAACAATATATCGACGAAAGATATTGATTCAGCAAATCAAGATGTTGTTACTTTGTGTAGAATAATGCGGTGTTGACTTTTCCTTGAATAAGGAGTCCGTGTTTTCTTTTGGCGAGCCACTGCTTTCTGTATTTCTGGCTGATGGTTTGTAAATTTGTTTCGTGATATTATTATTGATCCTACAATTATTATTCTACCTGTTGTTTAGTTTTTCCATAGAGACATGACTGGTTTATTTATAGAAGCAAATATAGATATCTCAAAATAGTGCCTATATTGCCTTTCGATAAGATCGACTCCAAAGCACGCTATACGTGGGGCTTTCTTTCACTATCACAGGCTTCAACTCACCTGAAGGATATAGAAAGGTCAGATTAAATGAACGAGTACCAATTACTAGAAGAAATAGGAAGAGGTACACTTAGTCGTGTATATAAGGGTCGAAAGCGTAACACGATTGATTTCTATGCCATTCACTCAGTTGATAAATCCATGAGGCAGCGCGTCCTCAATAATGTTCGAATACTGAGCGCGCTAAATCATTCAAACATTATTCGCGTGCACGAGTGGTATGAGACGGTGAACCATTTTTGGGTGATCACGGATCTCTGCATAAGTGGTGATTTGCGCAGTATTCTTCATATTAACTGCAAAATGAAACACGAGAGCGTACGGCTGTTGGGAAGTGACGTTTGTGCGGGGCTCTTTCACACGCACGCGAGGGGGTTTCTCCACCGTAACTTGAAACCCTCCGGTCTGCTTCTCAATGCCTCCGCGGCGCTGGTGCTCCATGACTTTGGTTTAGCCTGCCCACTACAGAACGCGGAGGAGGGCGGGTTAATTGGAACCCCACCATACATCGCACCAGAGCTTTTTTTGCTTTCGCCAAAGCAGCCGCCGTCAATCGCTTCGGATCTGTGGTCGCTAGGGTGTGTGCTGTATGAGATGGCCTCCGGGGAGCCTCCATTTAAAGGGAGAACTTTGAAGGAACTTTTAACAAACGTCTTGACGCAGCCGGTGAATCCCATCGAAGGGGTCGATCGGGATCTCAACGCACTCATTGCTCATTTGCTAGAGAAAAGCCCTATACGGCGTGCGAGCTGGGGGGATGTGCTCTCGTGTGGGTTTTGGGGAGATGCCCTCGAGGGTCTAACCCTCGATGCCTTGCCAGTCTGTTCAGCGAGGAAGAGTTCTGCGAACGGTCTGGGAGTCCAAGATATCATCCCGTGGGCAGAGGCAGACGTGCGCGCGGCGGTGAAGCGCGCGGTGGAGGCCGCAGCTGCCAATCACTCCATCGCTTCTCCCGCATCTGGAGGCGTCGATTCACCACCCGATTGGGATCGCCCTGCGCAGGAGTTAAACTTCACCCAGGGGAAATCGAATGGTGCGGCCATTTTAGACTTCCCTGAGGTCCGATGTGTTGGGCATGGCCAAGAGGAAGAGGCCGAAAGCGCGACGATCACGCTACCGAAAAGCGCTGCATCGTATGGCTTAGTGAATTCCAACCATCATGTTTCTAACGGAAATCAATCCCTAAGCGATGCGCGTTTGATGATATGCCATACGGATTCCACCGCGTTGACGAGCCAACGGGTTGCGAATAGTGCATGCGAAGCATCTAAACTCAGTGATTTTTGCACTCAAAATCTATTAGACGAACAATCTGCCGAGGCCATCCGCCGTGTTCCTATATCTGATCTGATATGGTTTCCGTCCGATGCCAATGTCCGGCCGCTGTGGGGTAATAGACGTATCGAATGCGCCAAGGAGGTGACTTTCAAGGCATCTGATATTCCTTTTCGAGCACTTGAATTACATGCTGTAGGTAGGCTAAGCGAACGAGATTTTAAATCCTTTATGAAGTGTATCCACGCCTCTCTCTCTTGCCATGACGGTACGGACGAGCAGAAAGAGAACATTCTAAAGTATTTGGCAACCATCGTGAATGGCCCCATGTTGTCTAACCGCCTTGTAAACAGCTCCATCATGGCGCTTTGTGTTAAGATGGCAGGATCACGCCACCTCCCAGTTTCGTGCAGGATGCAGGCTTCATCGTTGGCTGGGCAGCTGGTTCGCCACGCGAGTTATATTGAAAGCAACCTGGTCAAAACGAATATACTGCCGCAGTTGTTGCGCTACTTTCCGAGTGAGCCCAATCTTACCGTCAAGTGCAAATTGGTCGCTTGCATTGGGGAATTGATCTACTACATCGCCGCTCAAAAGGAGCATGTTTGTGCAGAGTGGGCGGAAATAGAGGACAACGCGCGCGAGGTCTTTACCTTAGCCTTGAAAACCGAGGATCCTTTGATCCGGCATTACGCCGTCAAGGCCGTGGAAAACCTTTCGACGAACACGGAACGATGTGCTATTTTTTGCACCCAACGTATCCTCGACTGCCTGCTTGTGGTGCATGCCCTAGGCTCCAGCCACAATCGGCATATGCGCGCCAGTGCCCTCTCCGCAGCGCTCCGATTGAGCACCGTTCGGGAGGAACTTTTCCCCACCCTCCTCGCGAGTACGGAGCTTCCGATAAATCAATACGCGGAGCTGATCGCGCACCCTCCAACGCCGCGCTGCGGGCGCGTTCTGCTTTCGTTCGTGAACGTTGTGTTTTACAAGTCGATCATCTCGATGGGGAATTCCTTCGAAGGGGGGTGGGTAGCCTCCTCAGGCTCTGCGGTGCCGCTCGTCTCCTCGATCCCTCCGCGGCAGGCGGCGGATGTCGTCCGTTCGATCGCCTCGCAAAAGGAGGAAATCATCGGTTGTGTGGTGAATCGCGCCGGGGGGGGTTCGGATCCTATCGCCGCCAAGCTGGCGGTGTTCATGCGGCTACTCGGCTGCCTTGGGGGTCGCGTGTTCGCGGAGAGCTGCACCGCCTCCGCGCTCGCGCTCGTCGACGCCGTTGCCGGGGAAAGCGACCCCCACTTTCGGCGATGCGCCTCCGCGTTTGCTGCCTTTCTCGGGATTTATACCTCCCAGACGCTCTGCTCCCTCGCGCGGGGTATATCGCGCTCCACCACTCCTTTGTATATTACCTCACTGCGGCGTATCTTTAGCGCGAGGACGTTGCTAAAATTGATTCCCTTACGCCCGGATATTTTCGAAAGCCTCGGTGGATGTTTGAAGAAGGCTCTGAGCAACGCCGCGTATCGCCCCTACGAGGATGATTTCCATGCCTTGGCTTTCTATTTCGTTCAACAAATTGAAACGGTGGTTCAGCACCATAGCGCTATTCTCTCAAGTGTCGCTCCGCATTATCTCGAGGAGCTCAAAAAAGGTGAGAGCGAAAGGCGCTTTACTGCGCTTTACTTTCTGACATCTTTCATGGCGTCCTTAGTTTCAGACCTTACGGAACCGCGTAGGATGGATACCACGCTAGGAAAAGGTGTTCTTCGCATTCTATCGAGCGTAGTGGATCGATTGCCCGAGCTTTTCTTGCATGCGGATCCGATCCCGAGGTGTGCGCTGCGTCTGTTGCACACCTGTACGGATTGGAATGCTGCCGCGTTATCTTCGGTGGTCTCCAATCACCTCCTAGAGTGTATGTGGAATTATCTTTCCTGCGCCGATGACGTTGATCTTTTCTACCCACTTCACCTTCTATATGCTATGCTCTCCCACAACGACGGCAAAACGGATGGGGTTCACTTTGAGTTCCAGCAAAATCATTTGACCGTTCTCAATCGGATCAGCGTTGCGTCGATGATGAGCGGATTTCAGCATGTTCTGCAGGCTTGTTGCAAGGTGATTGATTGGATCCTACGCACCATCGAGATGGATGCGGCGTCTTACACAGATCTTCAATGCGCTGTTTTCATAACTGGCGATGCGGTCGAGCGCGTCTTTCTTCCACTCTGCGCGGACGAATCGGTATCGATTCACGCCGCAGCGATCACTTGGAATCTAGCTCGCCTTTGCCCATCGATGTATGGCGTGTTGCTGTCCGATAGCGGCCAATGCGCCCTGCAAAAAGCTTTAACTAATCAACTTGTCAGCATCGAAGCGGTTGAGTTGCTTTTACGATCGTTTCTTTACATTAGCGAAAAGAAAGGTAAATGGGAGCTAACGCATTTGGCGAATAATAAAGAGCTCATGAGGGCGTTGAAGAAAGCTATCGCGAGAGAGTATCCAGTAGCTGTTTATTCCTACGCTACTCAATTATACCAGACGATCACAGATCAGCAAGTACTTACGCTGTCGTGATGATTGCGTCACCACTGAATAGAATTGCAATGTTTTTCGCTTTGCCCTTCTACAGAAAGGAGGGGGGGAAGCGGAAGAGGGGCAACGTTTGAGTTGTCTTTTTCCTTCTACTAACCTGTTCTCTACCCCACGTATTTTTTTATCTGCAGGGATCACTACAGATGAGTCTTTTATAAAGAAAAAAAATGGTCAAATCTTTAGATATTGCTATAATTACAATTTCCTCGATATTTTCGACCTTCACGCTTAACGGTAGCAACGCCGCTGGTATTCAGATTTCTGGAAGGGCTTCTGTAGAAATACCCGGTTGATTGCTGTTTAGCGAATATTTACACCACGCTTCTTGTGATTCACGCAGTGTTCATTTATTTTTGTTTGAATTCCTATCCTACATCACAATAGAGTCAGCCAAATATACTTCATAAATAATTAATTTGTGAAACTTCCAGAGTAGAATTGTACGACCGCTGTGTAGGGTTTCTCAGGCCAGTTCCCCTTACATACTTACTAAAAATAATCTGCCTATTCACTTCTCCTCCCCTCTCGCTCTCATCTCCTCCCCTGACCCCACACACCAGAAAAGTGAATCGAGTGCCTTTTCGCTTGAAGGGGTCCCTTTCTTCCCCCTTTTCTTGTTTTCTATTAGACTACCCTATTCCTTTGGTCCATCGACCCCGCGTGGTGGTGTCCGTCCTCGACTTGGATTGCGTGGTGGATCCCTTGCGTCTCGGTCGCCCGCCTCGCACCGGATGATCCGTAGTTACCTCCGACCCGATGTCGACGAGGAGGAATGGGTCGGGGATGCCCTCGAGGGGGCCTTTGCCACGTGGAAGCACGACGACCCCCTCGCCGCCGCG